GATAGGGTCCTTCACTCGGGCTTAATGTTTTTAAGGTTTGTGCATGCTGCAGCAAGTATTACTTCTGGATTCCTTTCTACAGACAATAATATCTCACTGCAGGCATATTCTTCACTTTGTCTCTGTCTTCTCAGTGGGTATTTGGGCCATCTCCACTTTTTGGCTGGGGCTTCAGTAAATGTGTATATGCAGATTTCTGTGTTATCTGTTGTCAGCTCCATGAATATATACCTAGGAATGAAAATGCATGGTCACATGTGTCTTAGCGTCTTTCCAGTTGGTGCCATAGACATGTAGTAACCATGCTTGTTTGAGACAGGGTCTCACTTTTTAGTTCAAGGTAGCCTAGGATTCAGTATGTGGCCCAGAATGCCCCAAACTTGCAATCCTCCTGCCTCAAACTCCCAAGTACTAGGATGCAGGAGTGTGCTGTCACAGACAGCCCCTATGTGTAATCATTTGGGCTACATATCCAAACGATTACACATAGAGGCTGTTGTCCCCAAAGTAGCTATACAGCAGATGCCACCAATTCCCAAGGTTCCCAGTCCATTCACATTCAGTGTACTAATAGGTGTGGCACATTAAACAATTGCCCAAGATACAATTTTAAAGTATTGACCATTTAAGTGCATACATTTATTATTTAGTTTCTTTGATTTTAAAATGCATGCAAGATTCAGTAGACAATGACATAATTTTAAAAAGTCAATGTCTAGTTACACTTTGGGCAGAGAATTATAATAAATGAGCAGAGGTTAAACTCGAATGATGGAATGATTTTCTTTGACTCTGACCAGGGTGCCTCTGTCTCCTAAGGTAGCCTCCCTTAGAGACAATGTGAAGACGTTATTAAAGAAGCTGTGGGTGGATATGTGTCTGAGAAAAGGCTTTCTGCCCTTTCTTCCCTGACCCAAATAAACATTCCTGCCAAGCCCTGGGGACAGGGAGCAACAAGTGACAGGAGAATGAGGAAAAGAGAGAGAATATTTTCCCCCAAGGTGAATCATGATTAAATTTCAGAGACTAAATAGAAAAAGGAGCCATTCTTAAAACTGGACCAAACAGCATGGACTTCAAACTGAGATAAGTATTAACTTGTTTCTCCCAGAAAAGAAAAGGAAAAAGAAAATAGACTATAGAATTTTTTTGAAAAAAAAAATATAGTTTTGTTATTTTCAGTTTCTTCCTCATGAAGGCAGATTCAGGATACTGAGGCCTATTCCTATGATCCCAGCCCTGGGGTAGTTGAGGCAGAAGGATTGCTGCAAGTTCAAATCCAGCAAGACTGGTCTCAAAATAGCAAGACTTGGTTTCAAAATCCAAAAATAATTAATTGATAATAAAAGGAGTGAACATGAGGGAGACGCCAATCATGGAGAAGGAATGTCTCAACCCATTTGATTAGATGTCAATTAGAGTCCCGCAGGAAAGGATTGTCCCTCTACACTAAGAGTGTGTATTATGCTTCCAGCTAAATGTCACCACATCCCACCCCAGCCCATTAGCACGGTGATAAAGCTGAGTGTCCCCAAATCTGAGTGGCATAGGCATATGCTGAGAACAGTCCAACAGAACTTTGGCTCTTTGGGCCAGTGCAGCCAACACTCCTGTCTCGGGGCTGAGAAGATGCATGCACAGACCCTGCTCTGGGCCCCCTGCGCTGCACCTGACCCCAGCTCCATGTGTCGCTCTGCAGGTGACTCTGCAGGAAGCAAGAAGGGAGGGAAGAAGAAGGGCTCCTCTTTCCAGACGGTGTCGGCTGTGTTCAGGGTATGTGGTTTCTGTCTTGGGACCGTCCTCAGGCACTTGTTTCTCTGCCCAGTGAAATGGCGTGTGCTAAGAGAAACATGCTTGCTTTGGTCTGCGTTCCAGGAAAATTTAAACAAACTGATGACCAACTTAAGGAGCACCCATCCTCACTTTGTACGCTGCCTGATTCCCAACGAGACCAAGACTCCTGGTGAGTAACAACCCAGGCTAGCCATTATTTGAAGAGAGCAGGACTCTCGTGGAGTTACAGCCCTGACCTAACTCGGGTCCATGGGGCTCCATACCACAAGCTAGGGTTTTGATCCTGTTACTTGCTTCACTCAATTGTACATTTTATGAAGTAGAAGTGACTGTTTTCTATATTTTTACAAATAAAGAAATGGAGACATGTTAGGTCTCAAGAAATTCCTTTTCCCAAAGTCTAGCATTTAGACAAAAGCCAGCATTCCCTGACTTTTAAGAAGATAGTTCCTGCTTGCTAAAAGGAGTCATTCTCTTTATCTCTGGCCAAAGGGACCTATGAGCTCTTCCATTAACCTATGCCCCAGGTGCCTATTTAACATACCAAAGTGGACAGGTGGCTACCAGTCTGTTGGCCAATACCTCTTACAGAGAGTCCTGGCTCCTCTCAGCACTTCTCACCCCACCCACTACCCTCAACCTCTCCAGCACCTGAACCTCACTTTCCTTCCCTCAGCTTCTGGGGTGCCTATGGAACCCAGCCAATTGGCTACCTGTCCTCTTGGTCTCTGTGTTCCCAGGTATTATCTTCTCCCCACTCTTTCTTTTCTTCCTCTCTCGGTCTTCCCCTCTCCTCTCATGGCCTGGTTCAGTCTGCCAGCCATCTTCAGTCTGGACCACTCCAGATGCCTGAGGCTATTCTCTCCCCATTCCAGATGCCTGAGGCTACGCTCTCCCTCATATCTACAATAAATCTCCTCAACTCACACCTCATGTCCTCAATTTTTCACTTTTCAAGGCACAGGAGGTCCCCCTCCCTTTCATGCAGTTGGTAAATAACACCGTTGGGTTTTGAACTAGTAGGAATCACATTCATGGACTGAAATATCCTGTGCCTCATTAATATGCATAATCACAATGTTTTGTAGATCTGCTAAAATTAAAAATCAGTGGCTATACTAAGAAGAAATGTGGAAAATGAAAAATATAAACCAAAAATAATGCATGTTATAAAATCAAGAGAAATGAATACTAATAAGTTTTTTAAAGAAATGAGAAAGTTTGTTTGTATATTTAAATTTTTTCTGTAATATAGCCACGAAGTAGAAATGTCAGAAGTTTTCCAAAAGGAATATTTCATTTTGTGACAAGGCTGGAAGAGAAATTCTAACAGCACCCTTGGATCATGAGCGTCTTAAGAGTCTTTGAAATTTATTTTCTATTCAAAATATCAGTAAAATGGAGCCATTGCCATCAAAAAGGAAAGAAACAAAAGTGTTGGAAGAGGGAGAGGACCAGACAAATGTCTAAGGTTTCCTTCCCAGATCCTTCTGGAATACTAATAGATATATTTCCTCCTTGGTCTTAACCAATCTTTCTGCAGGGAATCCCCACCTAGTGGACCTTTGGGCTGCCATGGCAGCGTTCTGTGTCCACACTGTCTGGTGTCGTAGCTGCCAGCTGCACAGAGTTTGGCTTAAGGCAACTAAGATGAATCGTTGTTGTTAATGAATGTCACACGTCGATGATAATCATTGTGTGGGAGGGGCTACAGCGCCAGTCCAGTTGTGAAAACTGTTATAAGGATCTCTCTTTGGAGCAAGCAGGAACGCCTGTAGGCACTCTAGAAATTTCTACAAGACAGTCTTAGCTGTACCCCTCTCTAGCAACTTAGGGCGCTTACAGTGAGAAATCACCACAGCCATTGTATCTCTCCTTTAACCCTCTGGCCAGGCTGGTTACCAAGAGTGGCCAATGGCATCTCGGCCGTAGGCCTCTCTTGTCCCACTGGCCCCACACTTTCTACCCAGACCCTACTTCCTGAGGCAGGTGCTGAGCAAATGGCCACCAGCCCCCACACTGAGCCTCCCACCCTACCGTGGATTTTGTTTCTTATCTGGCTCCTCAGGCTCTGCACACTTGACATTTTCACCTCAGCAGAGATGGGAAGGAAGACTCTTCAGGTTGTCTAACAAGAAGCCCCAGGGCCTTTCCACACACCCCTGCCTTTCTTTGGAGCCTAGTTAAAACAGGGCCTCTGGCAGAATAAAGATCTCCTTCCTATGGCCTTGGGGTGCTGGAGTCTCCCAGAAGACTGGGGCATCTCCTCTGTGATGCTTATACAAGTTGTAGTCACCCCGCTTAGTGCTGATCTCAACACACTCAAGTCTAAGTTCATGGTGTCTTAGATCATCAAAGACAAATTAATGAAAAGCCACCCACTTCCCGTCCCCCCCCATACTTCCCCCCCAGGTGTGATGGACCACTACTTGGTCATGCATCAGCTGCGCTGTAATGGGGTCCTGGAGGGCATTCGGATCTGCAGAAAAGGGTTCCCCAGCCGAATCCTCTATGCTGACTTCAAACAGCGGTAGGTCACTTCTTCCGTGTGTTTATCTCTTTTGAGGACAACTTTTGCACACACACCCCATCCAAAGCACCCTTGGCCTCAGCAGTTGGTACGCTAATAAGCCTCTCAGGCTTTCTGGACTTCATTGTGCCAAAAGGATGCCCCCCCGCGTCCACAGTGAGTCTTGGGATGGACCCTAACTGACCTATCAGTTGTAGTCAGACCTAGCCGGACTGTCACTTTAAAGAAGGATGTCTCATCGTGATGGACATCTGGAATTAGATGGTCCTTTGTATTGCAGTTCTCTGTACATTAGAGGATCCTAGCCACATCTCTGGCCTCTACCCAAAGATGTTCACAGCAAACCACATACCACATTCCTGTGTTGTGACCATCAAAAATACCAGGAATTACCTGGTGTTCCCTGAAAGCCAAATCTGCCAGTGGAAATCCACTGTTCTAGAACACCTCTTTCCTTCCGGAAGTCCAGAGCCCTTGAGAGGTAGGAGGGATGAGATCTCCGAGCTGCAGCTAAATCCAAAGCTCTTCCAGGTCAGATAAGAACCCTCTCTGAAGGCAAATTTTCTGAGAAGTGTGCTCAGCCCATCTTCCTTCCTCCATGCTTCTCTCACTCCACCACACCCTAGAACCTACCCCTGGACTCCCCCCTCTCCCAGACTAGCAGCAAGGTACTCACGGTCTTAAGACTGGAGAGAAGGTTCTAGAAGGTCTGGTCTCAGGTACAAGGCTATCCTGAGAAGTCAAAACCATCGTCCCTTCTCCCTAGGTACCGGATCCTTAACGCCAGTGCCATCCCAGAAGGGCAGTTCATTGACAGCAAGAATGCCTCTGAGAAACTCCTCAACTCCATCGATGTGGACCGGGAGCAGTTCCGGTTCGGCCATACCAAGGTGAGAACAGATGGCCTGGAGACTCCCTCAACCCTGGCAGCTAGTCAGCCAATCAGAGGGAAGGGTCTTGTGTCTGGTCAACTTGACCAACCTTGTCTCACAGCCCAGGCCGACTGTGGACAGCCCTGGAACTGTGGCTGGGGGCTCTGGCTCTGTGTTGATCTTGAAGAGGCAAGAATCATAAGCTAGAAAATGGAGCAGCAAGCAGGGGACTCTGGTGCCCTAGACAGGGGAAAAAAGAGGCTCAGAGTACATAGAATGTAGGGCAGACTCCAGGGTCTTGACTTGAGAAGGGTAATCCCAACCAATGGAAGGACTTCTAGTCACTGTGTGCGTGTGTGTGTGTCCTGTGCACAGCCATCCAGACAAATTTCACTGACTCATCACAATAACTGATGCGGGAGTTGATAAGGAGGCATTCATAATTCATTGAGTCCTTGGGAGGCCAAAGAAGCAAAGGTCCCAGGAGGCCAAGGGCACGCTAAATACTCAAGGCCCCTTGAACAGATAAATCAGCTGAGAGGCAGAGAGTGCTAAAGGCTAGTTTCCATCTGAAGCCAGGCTCCTGGGAAAGAAGAGCCTGGGCTCCCAGCTGCTCCAGAGGGAGCTCCTGCTGGGGACAGTTGGGACATTGGGGTCAACAGGTGAGGGTGTGACAGAGCCCAGGAGGTGGGAGACAGATCTATCTGTGACTATCTCCGAATCTGGGCACAATTGTGGCCCCTGGCTACTTTCCCGGCTTGTCTTGACTGCCTTGATGTGGGCTCTACAGAACTAGTCCAGGTGGTTGATGGGGCTGGGACCTACGTGAGAGCACACTACAGTAGCCCAGGAGGTGCAGATACAGAGACCTAAGCCACTGGAAAGTGAGGCCTGGAAGCACTCTGGGTGTTAAGGCTGGAGCTGGGAAGAAACAGGTTCCATCAGGAGGCTGATGGAACGCCACTGAGGAGGACACGGGCTGGTCTCTCTTTTCACGCAGGTATTTTTCAAAGCGGGGCTCCTGGGTCTTCTGGAAGAGATGAGAGATGAGAAGCTGGTGACCCTGATGACGCGCACGCAGGCCGTGTGCAGGGGCTACCTGATGAGGGTGGAGTTCAAGAAGATGATGGAGAGAAGGTAAGGCGTAGTCTCACCTCCCATACCCCACCCCTCCTACCCACCAGCCAGTCATCACTTCCTGCTCTGGGTCTTTGAATATTTATGTACTCTTTCTGAACACTCATTTGCTCATTCTGAACATTCACGTACTCCTTCATTCAATCATGCAATCAGTCATTTCTCCAGCATTGATTGAGCAGCTGCCCTGTGCCCTGGGGATATGGAAACAAACCCAGCAGTTCACAGAGGCACGGGAGAGCAGACACATGCATGGAAAGCTCCAATACTCGGACAAGGGTATCATTAGAGTTATAGGCAGGCAAAGAAGGACCTGGTACAAATAAGCCTGGTTGAGATATTGGAGTTGACATGAAGGGTTCAGCCTTCTTTCCTCCCAATCTTTTCATGCTGTGTCCTGTGCTCCTCATTCACAGGCCTACTCTGGTTCCAGGTCTGAAAAGCTTAGGCGTACCCCCTTCTACCCAACTGAGAAGGATGGGGGATGGGGATTTAAGTGAAAAATGAGCTAGAAAACACTGTGGGTAATTAATCTGAGTTCTGTGGGTTCACAGGGAGTCCATCTTCTGCATCCAGTACAACGTCCGCTCCTTCATGAACGTCAAGCACTGGCCCTGGATGAACCTCTTCTTCAAGATCAAGCCCCTGCTGAAGAGCGCGGAGGCTGAGAAGGAGATGGCCACCATGAAGGAGGACTTCGAACGGGCCAAGGAAGAACTGGCTAGATCTGAGGCTCGCCGGAAGGAGCTGGAGGAGAAAATGGTCTCCCTGCTGCAGGAAAAAAATGACCTCCAATTGCAAGTCCAGTCTGTAAGTTTCTTGTACCTGAGCGTGCAAAACAGACTCCCAGGACAGTAAAGGAACAGAAAGGGAGGACCCCATGAGCTGTCTATTTAAGAGGCAGTGGTGCCACCCAGTGGTCATACAGAGTATTGCAGCACTACCCTGTCAGAAGCAGGGCTGGCCCTGGCTTCCCCAGAAAACATGTTGGCAAAGACAACTTCTCCAGTCTCTTCTCTGCTTTCCACAGCATATTTTGACATATTTTGCCGTGAGCATGAAGGATAAGAGTGTGGAATTATAATAAAAATTTGTCAGAAGCAGGGTATGATATATCTCATGCCTACTCAGAAATCTAAGGCAGGAGGATTGCCATGAGTTCAAGGCTAACCTGGGCTACATAGTGAGATCTAAGATGCCTAGGCAACAATGTCAGATCCTGTCTTAACAAAATACAAAAAAAGGTCTGTCAAAAGTGCACATCTTAGGCTGGAGGTGGTGGCACATGCCTTTAATCCCAGTACTCAGGAGGCAGAAGCAAGCAAATCTCTAAGTTCCAGGCCAGCCTGGTCTACAGAGTGAGTTCCAGGAGAGCCAGGGCTACACAGAGAAACCCTGTCTTGGGAAAAAAGTGCACATCTTGGGGCTGGAAAGGTGGCTCAGTGGATACAAACATTTATTGTTCTTACAGAAGACCAGGGTTCTGTTCCCCATACACTCATGGTGGATCACAACCACCTATAGCTCCAGTTCTAGGGCATCCAGCTACTTCTGACCTCCTTGTACACTAGGCACACATGTGGTGCACATACATACATGCATGCAGGTAAAACTTTCACTCATACACATAGAATATTTTTTAAAAGTTTAAATGCACACTTTTTAAAAAAAGTACAAGAAAAAATAAATCATTAAAATTAAATAACCCAATTGGAAACAGAAAGTAATTTTCTACATATGATTTTCAATAATATGATTATGCTCTGAAAAGTGCTTTAGAGAATTCATTTTTATCAAAGAAACGCGGGGGAAACAGAGCCACATTTGCAGCTCACAATATTCTGATATCATACTTGTCTCCTTTCCATGAAATTTATACTTTTTCTCTTAATAAAGCCTCAGAGACTTTGTGTCTCACCTCACGTGTACAGAGTTACATGCTCTCATTTACACTTACCCCATGGATAGAACTCTTCAGGGAGCATCACCTCCCAGGCTCAGAGGACAGGAGGTCTGAGAACCTTTGGGTTGACCTCTCAGAAGCCCCCACTTGCTAGCAGTGTGACCTCCATCCAGTTCATTCTCTTTCTGTCTTCATTTTCCCATCAGAAAATGAACATCATAACAGCACTCACGGTAGATGGTTGTCAAGGAGTCCGAGGGTTTGACGCCATGTCAAGTGCCCAGCATGTGCTTAGGTGTAGAGAGGTTCAGAAAGCATCAGCATGGACTTTTCCTGGTCTCTTTCCATCCATTTCCCTGCACTGTGTGTCTAGTGCTTAAATACTCTACAAGAGGAAGGTGGCAGCTGATTTAGCTTGAGAACATAATTAGCCAGTCTCATCTACATCCACAGTACTTGCTACAGTCTTCCGACACGTGGACTTACTCAGTCACCTATTCACGTGTGTTTCTAATTTCCTATTCTGTGGCTGGAGGAAGCACAGCTAAGAACACGTGGACAGGCCCCTTCTATTGAAAGTTAACATGTGGTAGAGTTTTGAGAACATGAATCCGCTTTGTGTAGCATGGAATACATGGGTCACATGGTTTTTGACTGGTGGAAGAAAGAAATGCTCAGATACCACATTCATCAACAGTTAGAGGCTTTGTCGTTTACGATGAGCCTGCGACTCCACGAGAGCCTTTGTGTTGGCCGTCAAACGATAGCCTCAGTGGGTAAGAGCACGTAAGTGACATACGTGTAAATGCCTGTGTGCCCGTGCACCCGAACCACTCTTCGGCTCGGCTGCGGTGCGGGCTTTTAGAGGGTCAGACCCTTTCTTCCCAGGGTTTACAAAGCGACTGAGCAGAACTTCCGGTGACCCGGCTCTTGCAGGAAACAGAAAATCTGATGGATGCCGAGGAACGGTGCGAGGGCCTCATCAAAAGCAAGATCCAACTGGAGGCGAAAGTCAAGGAGCTGAATGAGAGGCTGGAGGAGGAGGAGGAGATGAATTCGGAACTGGTTGCCAAGAAGAGGAATCTGGAAGACAAATGCTCTTCTCTCAAAAGAGACATCGACGACCTGGAGTTGACCCTGACCAAGGTTGAGAAGGAAAAGCACGCCACCGAGAACAAAGTGAGTGCACTGAAGGCTCCTCACAGGCTCTCAGCCAATCCACTCTCATCGTCTAGATGTGAGAGGCAGGAACTGGGGCCAGCCTGGTCTACATAACAAGCAGCTGGCCGCTTTGGTCCCTCCTCCTTGACCTCCACTCCACAGGCTCTCCTCAACTCTTCCTGGGAGTGTTGCTAACTTGTATATTCCTTGACAATAAGGATGGTGTCATGCTCGTCTTAGTCTCTCGTGTACCAAGTGCAGGGAAAGCCAACAAAAATGCCGACAGAGTCAGGTGGATGATGAAGGAGGCAGAAAACTGGATATCAGTGAGGGTTGGACGAAAGTGGGATACAGGGACCCTCATGTGTTATTGGAAGGATGTAGAGGAAGCTAGTTGGCATTACCTAGTCCAATTAAGAATCTAGTGGCTGAAGAGACAGCTCAGTGGTAGTAAGAAGTAAGGGCCATGAGCAGTGTGATAACATTTGCACATAGGAAAAGTACATGCACACAGCCCAAAAGTATATGCTTGACAAGGGTCCTTAAAAGCTTGGCATGACTCATCTAATAAGGGCTACCCATGAGGAGAGACAAAGGCGGAAGTCTGCTGGGTGTGAGAGGACAATGACAGCTGACACTCAAGAGTCAGTGGTGGATTAACAATAGTAATGGAAATAGACAATAGGGAGGGTGGAGACTGCGGCAAATGCTGTCCTCAGGCTGCCCATCTCACGGGTGGCAGCCATGACTCAGCCCTAGCACATGATTGTCAGGTGGGAATGTGAAGTCAGTGCTGCTGGAGGTTTGGCTTTCCGTGAGAAGCCAAAAATCCAGATTTTATGTAGACTCTTATTTTCCAATGTTGATAATGTTTCCAAAAAAAAAAAAAGATAAATGAAATATATGTGTGGTTGGATTCAGGTCACAGGTGGGAGTTAGCAACCTCTCATCTGGAAGATGAGTCCAAGGGAGTTTCTTCTGTTTGGTGCCTGAAGCTCTGTGCAAGGTGCCCAGGCCCCATGCTGCCAGCACATCTGGATTTTCTTGCCTCACACCTCAGGCCTCTTCCTCCCCTTCCTGCTTCATCCTGAACCCCCGTCAGCCCGCCTGATAAATGCTTGGAGGTGTGCGATGAGTAAACACAGATTGATGTGTTGCCCTTCACACCTAGTGGATTTGCATTTTAATGGTGTCCTTCCTAGTGAAATATAGTGCACTCTGAGAGGAACAGTTCCACTGGAAGAATCTAAGGCGCCATGGATAGGCCAGGGAGGAAGACGAGGAGAAGTGGGGAGCCTGGGCTGTAGCTCACTTGGTGGAGTGGTTACCCAGCACTGACGAAGCCCTGCGTGTGATCCCAGAACCACGTAAAACTAAACATGGTGGCTCGTGCCTGCATCTCGAGATTCAGAAGGTAGAAGCGGGAAGGTTGGAAGTTTGAGATCACCCTGACTGACATCAAGTTTTGATGTCGTCACTTTAGGTCACTTGAGACCTTATCTCATAAAAACCTGCAAGGCTGACGGTACAGTAGTGGTACATGCCTTGTCCCGGCTACCCGGCTACTTTGGAGGCTGAAGCAAGAAAGATATCTTAAGCCTGGGAGTTTGGAACCAGCCTGGGAACTGTACAATTCCCCAAAATAAGATGAAATAAAATTGAAATAATAAAAAAAGACGTTAAAAAAAGAACTGAGAAGCCACCTGTCCCTGAATGATATGGAGCTACAGAGACAGGAGGCCACCACAGCGCTTGTTGTTGGGAGCCGCTGGATTAATTGTTTCAATCTTAAATTAGTTGTTGATTTGCTCCTAGGTGAAGAATCTCTCTGAAGAAATGACAGCGCTTGAGGAAAACATTTCCAAACTGACGAAAGAAAAGAAATCTCTCCAGGAAGCCCATCAGCAGACGCTGGACGACCTGCAGGTTGAAGAAGATAAAGTCAACAGTCTCATCAAGATCAATGTCAAGCTGGAACAGCAGACAGATGACGTGAGAGCACGTGACCTCTGTGCTTTGCTAAGAAGGGAGGGGCCGAGGAGGAAGCGGTCTAGAGAGCTCAGATGCCGAAGTCAGAGCCTGAGTCCAGGTTCCAGCTGTGCCCTGACCCTAGATACAAACATCTGAGGTGACAGGCGGGTCACGTGACCTTGTGAGGCCTCAGTTCCCACTCATGAATTAGGGAGCAATACACATAGCTAGACTTCAGAGGACATCTAAGGAACGTGTTCAACATAATATTTTCAGAAAAAACATAAACCGCTGCAGTCATTAGCATCCACTTGTAGACAGTTCAGGTTCAGAAATTTCTAATTCTCCTCTACAGTGCTTAAAGCCTCGTTCTCAGGCAGGGGTGTAGCTCAGGGGTACAGCATACATGAGGTCCTGACTTCCACCTGCAACACCTCAAAAACAACCATCACCACTCCCCCAAAAAAACTTCAATTTATGGCCAGGAAAATGAACCTTTTTTCTACTTCATGATGAACTACTGTTCGTTATGTAAGACCCAGGTTTCAAGTTAGCCATGTTTAATCCCTATGGTGGCTAGACCTTTCGTAGGTCTCTAACAAGGCTAACACACAAGTAGGTGTGTTCCTTATTACACCCTTCTTTTCCTGAGCCCTGTCCTTCACACACACTTGAGTTCCTTTCCTGACTGCCCCCAGGGCTGGGTGGTGTAGGTGGGGTGAGGCGTGACAGGCCTCCACAGCATCTGTCACAGAGTGTCCACTTCTTCCTTTGGGAGATACGGCCGGGAACAAGCCAAGTGGGAATGGTCTGAAAAGAGGTACCCGGAGGCCCCCACGATACCCACCCCCTAAGATAGAGAACAGAGAAGTGGAGGATGGAAGGCTGGCTCCCTTCCTCCCAGGGCTGGAGGCCACAGGGCATGGGGTGTGACGGTGCTGGCTGATGTGGGTAAGCCCGCTTCCTCGGCCTTGTCCCAGCCAGCCTCTCCACCTGTGTCTTCCCAGCTCGAGGGCAGTTTAGAGCAGGAGAGGAAACTGCGGGCCGACCTGGAGAGGGTGAAGAGGAAGCTGGAAGGAGACCTGAAAATGTCCCAGGAGTCCATCATGGATCTGGAGAACGACAAGCAGCAAGTCGAAGAGAAACTGAAGAAGTAGGTGATGATTCATGCTCTCTCCCCTCCGCTTGAGACCGAAAGCCGAGTGTGCCCCCCTTAAACAGCCCTTGTCTCACGCTGTCTTGTTTCTTGGCTCTGTCTGCTTGCAGGAAGGAGTTTGAAATGAGTCAGTTACAAACCCGCATCGACGATGAGCAGGTCCTCAGTCTGCAGCTGCAGAAGAAGATTAAAGAACTGCAGGTGAAGGCATCGGGTCCCTCCTGGCCGCAGAGGTTCCCTGCAAATGCCCCGTTGGCTCACCCGCGCTCGTCCCTTCTTGTTGAGCAGAGTTGTTCTTCCTTTTTATCAATTCTTTCCACTCCCCGCCTCAGCAGCATGCCACCACAGTGGCCCTTTTTCTGTAGTTTCTGAAATAAATATTTCAAATTTTCTAAATGGCATTGAAGTATATATTCCCTTGAAAAGAGTCAGAATGTGATCGAGAGGGCCAGTTATTGCTGGCAAAAGTGCACTGACCACTGTCCTTAAGCCCAGGGCCCTCCCAGTCTTCTGAGAAGGAGCTGCCAGTTTCAGGTGTTTATGGATCATTCAGGATCCCTTTGTTATGTGTTTATGGACATACTGAAGTCCCAGAGAAAAGATATGGTATATATGCAAAAAAATTATCCACATTTCTTCATACTTTCACCATAAATCTTTTCATCCTAAGCACAGAATGCAACGTATTCCTGTTAAATATCGGCATGTTCTGCAGGGCTTTCCGTGGCGGACTTGCTACAGCATTGAATTGCTGCTTAGCATCAGGACAAGCCCTCCTCACAACTGATTGATCACTCCCCTGCTGAGGGACACTTAGGCTGTTTCCAAACAACCGCCAATGGCCTTTTGTCCCCTGCTAAATCAGAACATAGTCTCAACTTTGTGCTGCCTATGCCCATTCCTTCAGCACCTAGCGGCTCCTGGATTGTTCTCTACCCTGACAGCCTTTAATTATGCCGACCCTTTCAGGCCCGGACCGAAGAGCTGGAGGAAGAAATTGAAGCAGAGCACACAGTCAGAGCCAAAATTGAGAAGCAGCGTTCAGACCTAGCCAGGGAACTGGAGGAGATCAGCGAGAGGCTGGAAGAAGCCAGTGGGGCCACTTCAGCCCAGATCGAGATGAACAAGAAGAGAGAGGCTGAGTTCCAGAAACTTCGCAGGGACCTGGAGGAGGCCACCCTGCAGCATGAAGCCACAGCAGCCACCCTGAGGAAGAAGCACGCGGACACTGTGGCTGAGCTTGGGGAGCAGATTGACAACCTGCAGCGTGTCAAGCAGAAGCTGGAGAAGGAGAAAAGTGAGCTGAAGATGGAGATCGACGACATGGCCAGCAACATTGAAACAGTCTCCAAGTCAAAGGTATGACTAACCCTTCTGGTCTCGGCAGTCACATCTTCCCACCCTGTGAGCAAGTGGAATTCGATGCACCAGACTCACTGCATGTTCTAAACTGTTAGCTTTTTCCCTACTGACTTTTCCAACTCCTCAACTTCATTCAAGTCACAAGTCCTAATACCTGAGGCTGTGACAGCAAACTACCTTAGACAGGGTAATTTTATAAACAACAGAAGTGTTGCTTACGGTTTGGGAGCTGGGAAGTCTGAGATCAAGTGGCCAGCAGACTCAGTGTCTGGCCAGGGCTCACTTTCTGCTTCAAAGATGGTGCCTTCTCTCCACATCCTCCCATGTTAGAAGGAGCAAGGGAGCTAGCTCTCACCTCTTCGTTTGTTTATTAGAGACAGGGTGTAACCGTGCAGCCCTGGGAAGCCTGGAACACTATGTAGACCAGGCTAGCTTCAAACTCAGAGATCTGCCTGGCTATATCTTCAAATGCTGGGCTTAAAGGTGTGTGTGAACACTCCCATCTTCTCACCTCTTTTATAAAGATTCTCACCCCCTACGAAGGTGGGGACCTAATTACCACTCACCCCCAGAGGCTAAGCTTACCTCTGGATTTATGGAGATTTGGTTTCAACTTAAGAATCTGGGGAAAACACACACACAAAAAAAATGCAGAGCAAAGTTGTTCCAACTTGGTTGAGTGGTCTGACACCAGTCAAGGTCATAGTATCCTTCCTGACTCTTCCAGTCCATCGGGTGTGTCCTAGAACTGAATCTATGGCTTAGTTAACACCTAGGCCTTGTGGCCAGGGTTTCCCCTATGTCCCCTTCCTACCCCACAGTATTGTCACTGGGAGATACAGTCAATGTGGAATTAGCATTTGGGGTCACAGGTAGATGCAGGCCCTTGAGACAGATGAAGCAGTAGAACTGGAGGTCTTGAAGATAAAATACCAGGAGGCAAGAGGCGGGAGAGATGGCTCAGAGGCTAAGAGCATATACTGCTTTTGCAGAGGGTCCAAGTTCATTTCCCAGCACCCAAGTCTGGTGGCTCACAATTGCATACAAGCCCAGCTCCAGGAAGGCCTCCAATGGCATCTACACATATGTGCACATATCCTGCACCAACACACAAATACACAAATAAAAATAAAATAAATAATATTTCCACAGGGAAAGAAAGAAAGCACAAGTCAGACATGGTGGCGCATACCTGTAATCCCAGCATTTGAGAGGCTGAGGCAGGGTCAAGAGTTCAAAGTCAGACTGTCATGGCAGTGTACTACTCTCATAATGTAAGAGGCAGAGGCAGGTGGATCTCTGTGAGTTGGAGGCTAGCCTGGTCTACATTGTGAGTTCCAGGACAACCTGAGCTACATGGGCCAACCTGGGCTATATGAAACCTTGTCTCAAATAAATAAATAAATAAATAAATAAATAAATAAATAAATAAATAAATAAAGGAGGAGGAGAGTAAGGGAGGGAAGGAGAGGATAGGAAAGAATAGTCACCCCTTAGTATATGCCGTGGATTGGCTCCAATACTTCCATGGATACCAAATCCATGGTGCAGGACCCCAGAAGGATGGCATGAGAACGTGGACCCATTCTCTCCCGTGCACACCCTCCCATTTAAATCTTTTCCAACTCACACCTCCTCAGATAATGTAAATGCCCTGTAAATCATTATGTTCTGTTACTCAGGGAATAATGACTGGAAGGAAAAGTCTGGGGTATGGTCCCCTGCCATCCCACCACTTGGGAGACAGAGAAGGAAGACTGCCATAAGTTCAAGGTCAGCCTTCTTCATAGCGAGTTCTAGGCCAGCCAGGTCTACACAGGGAGACCCTGTCTCAGAAAACCATAAACCTGAACCAAACTAAAGCCAAAACCATCTGCACCTGCTAAGCACAGGTCATTTTGCTTTAGTATTTTCATTCCTGTGGATTTTTAAAAACGAGGTTTTTTTTCCTAGGCAGCCCAGGCTGGCCCTGAGTCTCCTGCCTCAGCTCCCAAGTGCAAGTGCTAGGATTCATAGGCATGCACCAATGCACACAGCTGTTTCCGTTGTTTGGATCTGCTGTGAGTTCAACTGAAGGATGTGGTACCCAGAGGACTACATCTACACAAATTTAGAGAAATAAATGAACATTTATTTAGTTGCTTATTTCTTTTTTGTTTGCTTTGAGATGATGGGGGACAAGCCTAGGACCTCACACATGAGAGGCCCAGACCCCTTGCCAGCACATTAATACAGATGTAAAAATAAGCAAGAAAAGGCACAGATTACTCTGAAGCCTGGAACACATGGCCTCCTTTCCTTTATGGCCTCTTTAAGCTATTTCCCAGAAATGCTTCTCCAGGAATATATTTTGTCTTCCCTCCCTACCTACATGGAACTTTCTAGGGCTCCTCACTCTCCCTGGGGCTCATGTAAATGAAGGTGCTGACCCTTAAACCAAGCTGCCTCCCTGTGACTTCACACAAAATTCCCCTCAGAGAGCAGTCATGGCCTCCTTGATCTAAGAGCTGCCCTTGTCTTAGGATGTTCTAGGATGTACTTGGAACGGTTTGGATGACTGGGCTCAGAGAAGGACCACTGACCCCAGTGGGGATGTGAGCCTCTCAAGGGGATCCCTAGAAGGTCAGGGGGTGTACCAGAGAGGAGCAGGCAGTGAAATCAGGGAAAAATGGGTCCTGTGGAACGCCGTGTGTGTGTGTGTGTGTGTGTGTGTGTGTGTGTGTGTGTGTGTGTGTGTGCGTGTGTGTGTGTGTGCATGTGTGTGTGTATTGCTTAATTGAACACAGAGTCTTGCACATGCTAGGCAAGTGTGCTACCCGTGAGCTACCACCACAGTTCCCTTTGCCGTTTATTTTCTGGGTCTATTTCACACAGGATTGATGTCTTTCTTCTGTTTTTTAAGACTTACTTTATTGGGGGGGGGGCATGTGTATGCAGGTGCCCACAGAGACCAGAAGAGAGCATTGGATCCCCTGGAGCTGTCCTTCCAAGGGATTGTGAGCCGCCTGACAGGGGTGCTGGGAATCAAACTCTGGTCACTCTCTTAGTTCATTTTCTATTGCTGTAGTAAAATACCAGTACATCATAAAGAAAAGAGTTTTATTTAGCCCATAGTTCTGAAGATGTGACAGCATCTATTTAGCTCAAGAAAGGACCTCATAGTAGATGATAGCATAGTGGTAGGAGCATTTGTTAGAGGAACATCGATGCCAGTCAATTTTACATCAGCTCATTTTCATGCTAACTAATGTAGTCTTCTTCGGAGACCAGCATTAATCCCTTCAGAGACAACCCCAATGACCTAATTACCTCTCACTAGGCCCCACCTTTGAAAAACCTTCACCACCCCTTGATACTACTACACCACAGAGGCCACATCTCACCTCAGAGCCTCCTACTTCTGGAATGGCTTTATGTTACTCTGTGCTCTCAGTTTTAAAGTCCAGCACTGTACTTGCCTTATTTTTTTTTAAGTTATTGTATCCTTTGAGTTTTCTATTTGAGAGTTATCTTCCCTCTCAGATCCTGCCCCTGCTGGAATTCTTCCTTGTGCATCATCCTCAAATAGGTCCTGAGCTCCTTGAGGATCATCTTTGATCTAACACCTCTGCTTCTGCTGCTTCTGTCTCACACCTTCCAGTCTGAGGGAACACATATGCTCACCTTATTCTATATTTCATGGGGAGGGAAGAGAAGCGAGGTCTGAAATATACACAGAGGTTTTGAACAAAGCACATAACTACAGGCAGACCAGAGGCTGGAGTAGCGACTCCCTCATCTCAATAGCCACACCCCCAGGAACCACTGTAGTGTTGAAAGAAACACTGAAACATGAACACGGGGTTTGGGAATAGTGTCCATCTGGCATAGGCTTGCTTCTCTTCCACCGTGATCCCGGGGTTTCTGTGAGTGGCATCACATCAGAAACTGGTTTACTAACCACTAGATACATACCTACCAGAGCTGACATTCCGAATTATTGTTCATTCACACACAAAAATAAAGC